CAATCAATGCAGCTGTTAAGCTGAGCAAAAGCAGGACTTGACTGAAAAACAGATGTTTTGCACATGAGCTGACTTATTTCAGTTAATGATCCAGACAGAAAGCAAAGCACAATATATGCACACACAAACAGGCATCGTTGGTGCTTGAAATAGTATTCAAGTGCAGATATAGGTACTGAGATATGTTGAGAGGAAAAATTCTCATTTTTTGCAGTTATTCCATATACCCCTAAGACTTTAAGGATGACGTTTTGGCATATTTTGGCTCTTTCAAGCATGTGTGTGTATATGGATACGTGCACACACTTGCATATATGATGCAGGGTGACAATGATAGCATTGGGACTAATTTCCATGAAATAGTGTTGAAAGTTCCCAGAATGATTGAGGCAACTTCCTGCTGAGTTGTTTTTATCAGTGTTTCAGATGACTAACTACGAGGAAAGTGACTTCCCATTACCTGGTTAGGTGATTAATTGAATTAGTATTTAGAAAATGTTTTCTAAAAATAGAAAAAAATGACCACATTGTTATGCATAAGCCTAATTAGGGATTGAGTTTTTAGGACTACAAAGAATCCATGTGGTGGGGATTTGAAATGCCTTGGTGATTGAGTTTCTGAATGGGAAAACTACAATGAGGCTGATTTCCGGGGCATCGCTTCTCAGCACTTTCTGAAAGTTGGCACCTCGGATATGTCTTAAATTTCATGCCCCTCTAAATTCCCAGTCACTGTTAAAAAAAACAGCTACAGTGTCTTGTTTGGGATCTTTGGCGTCTTTGGGATTGGTGACCACTTTGTCAGAGGTCAAAATAAGAAAATACAAATAAACAAAGAGCTTGCAGCTATTTCCGTTTAATACACCAGAGTCTGTGTTGGTTCTGCACAGTGATACTGAAGAGGTGAAAATTGAAACTACTTGTGGAATTTTTTTGTTGCTTCTCTCCCCGACCCAGTTGCTTCTCTCCACTTTTTTTTATTTTTTTTATTTTTTTTTTCCAGCATAATTTAACATTATTTTATTTTTATAATTGGTCTTTGTCTAGTAATACCTAATCTCCCCTTTCTCAGGAGTCAAGAACAAGGAAGGGAACTTCTCAAATCACAACTGAACATGAGATCAATAAGTGTGACCAAAGTCAGCATTTCTGACTTTTGGGGAAGTTTTCCGAGGTGCACTTTTTTCAGTTTCTAATTTGTTCTTTACTGTTGTTCAATGAAAATTCTGAAAACAAGTCTGAGAAACGAAACTCATCTGAGCTGTTTAGCAATGCAAAGCTATTTCAGTGTCAAGCTGTTAAACCTTAGCTTTGTCTCAGCTTCAGTGAAACTTGATCAAACGTGAGATGCTTCAGATGAAATATTCAAGGAAGTGATGTTTACTGATGAAACTTTGTTTAGTCGGAAATTTGCAAACCAGATTTAGTTATAGTCTTATATCTCTCACACACAGATTTTTTTCCTTATACACGTATTCACTAAGAGCTTGTGTTAAATAGATGTTATCAAGTATTTACTTAAAAAAAAAACAATAAGTTTTAAACTGTTTGACCAAAGAGCCTTTTCCTCCTGTCTGATGCTGCCAAAAGGATTTATATTAGAGCTAAAATACATGTGGAAAGGGTCATGCCTGGAATTTTGCTGTAATTGTAATTTTTTGATGCTGAAAAACAGCTGCCCATCAGTTTAAGGGGATCATTTGAGAGCCACTCCAAAATGACCAATAAAATGATTGAACCACTGAAACAGTAACTCACTGGAAAATTGTTTCTGTATGTAGCTCTTCCGCCCTATCTTTGGCACAGCCACCCCTGTAATTAAGGTGCAAACTGAGCTCTGAACCTGATGAAATAAGCTAAAGTAGACCAGAACAATTCTCCCCCCAAGCTCTGCAGAGCCCGAATTCTTCAACTCTCCATCACCTAGATGCCCCTCTCTGAAGCAGAATTTCATGCTCTTTTTAACTTTTCTGCCTCAGCTCCTGATGTAAGGTTAGAAGTGAACATTAGGCCAAAAGAAAAACAAAAACTTATTTTTCACCATCCAGCCCTGAAAAGTCTATGTAAATTCTTGATGAAGCTTCTGGGAATGTTGTGCATACAAACAAGGCTAATTTCTTCTAATATTGATCTTATTCTATCTGGTACAACATGGTTCCAAGTTCTTGCTGTCAGTTCACCATGTGGAGGGTATCATCCCCCATGTGATCCCCCAGGGCAGCAGGACCTGAAGCCACCATTTCAATGATCACCACTAGAGCAGTGCCCATGAAGAGAATCTTATTGTGCTAATGCAGGCAAGGGTTCAAGTCCAGCTATGCTGACAGGCAGTGAAAGAAAGCACGTCTCAGTATGAAAAAATGAGATCTGCAAGCCCGGAACCTTAATCAGGTGATTAATTAGCAACAGAGTCCTTTTTATTACGAGCCTAGAAGAGTACTAAATCTTGGGTGGGTAATGGGAAAGTCTGCAGTGCTTTATGTTCCTGGTGGTCACTTCTATATGCTCCTGTGAAAATCCCCAAGATAGCTAGCTGAGAAACCTGAGATGGAAAACAATTAGGACTTAACTTCCAAGTGAGCTGCTGGGCCTCAGGCAGAAAACCATGAGAAGACAAATGATAAATGACCAAGTATTCTATCTTGATAGGAAGACAAGCCAGGCATTTTTGAGAACACGTTTTTCAAAGAGCTAAGCGCCACACAGCTGTGTGGTTTAAATGGTAGAGCCGGCCCAGAAAACCGGAGTGGGACAGTTAACTGAGTGCTGGATTTCTTGAGGGTTTCCTGGAGCTTTTTGCCTGTGGTATTTGGTTCAGCAGATGGGTCACCAGGTCAATTGTATTTGAGACATATTAAAAAAAAATGACTGGACAATTTAATGGCTGCTAATATCATGGCAGTTATGTCCCTGAGATAAGGGTAACCAGATACCTGACTCTGGGGCTTGAACACTTGGACAGTTTCACTTGAAGGATGGAGTGGTCTCTAGAGAATTCCAGCATGCCATGATTGCTGAGAGTCTCCATTTGTGACAGTGCTGCTGATCTCATGCAGGGACGTGGAGCAGCCGATACAGCACCGCATCTCTGGGCTCACAGGCAATCCTGGCACAGTGGTCTCAGCTGCCTGCCAGCAGCACAATGCTGGCTCTGGCAGCAGTGGCTCTGTCAGCTCAGAGGGGCCAGGACAGGATTTGCCCCTGCACATAAAGGCTGTGCTGTTGTCAGGGGGTGTGCCTCCCTGTGCGGGACACAGCACGTGCAAGCTCCTGAAATGAGAAGGGCACTGGGGACAGAGGTGATTTGCACACTGGCAGCTCTTAAAGTCAGGCACTGTAAGACTCTAGGTGCCTTGAATTTACATCACAGGGTCCTTATTAGTAGGCAGACCTACTAGAGGAAGCCATGAGCTTGCCAGAATTGACAATTAAAAAGGTACAGAATAGTAAAAAATAGCTGATTCTGGTATTTTACCTTCTAGCTCTGGAGTTAATCTACCACCAGCCAGGACTTTGTGATTCAACTAGCTTTAATCCTTTCTGTGATTTGGATTCAGTGAGCACACAGGATAAAAGTCTATGTCTGGATTAACCCAAAAGCCACGTCCAGGTGTGTCTATACTTGGTCATCCCCTGTCCTCAAATACCTGTCTATGTTTCTGTGTTCTCTCCTGTAAGCAGCCAGCAAGTAGCTATCAAGCTGGGTTAATGCACTTCTGTGCTCTGAAAAATATAAAATACCAGGCACATTTCAGAAAACACAATTGCCAGAGATGTACTTACAATCCTAAAGTGCAAGAATCCCCTGTGTGCACATCATCTCCCCAACAGACATGTCATACTAACTTACAACATCCTCCTTATGTAATTCCCTTCACATATTGTTACACAGACGAAATATGCTTAGCACAACACAACAGCCTCTTGCATTCAAGTATATATGTTCTTAGCTCATGAGTTTTACCATAAGTCCCATGAACATTCTGTGAACTTCCAGCTCCTGGATTCATGGGAACAATAAAAATTTCAGCAGAGTTTTTAGGTTTTATGGTTGCAGAAAAAACCCACACATAAATATGATCTAAAAGCCCCCAAACCAGAAGGCAAATAAAAATAATCCCAGAAACAATAGTTATGCTGATAAATGCAGTGATTTTTAAGCTGCCTTCTTATGAGGGCATGGTTGGCCTCACTTGTGAGAAGCACATTCGTCTGCATGTTCAGGTCTCACAGAATTCTTTCCTTCTAAACCTCACAAAGGTGCTTCATAGCCCTCACAGGCACTCACTGCCTTGAGAAGTGCTGCAGTCCGGGGTGAAACTGTTTAGATTCAGCCTCCACGAGACTCAGCCCCAGGGATTACAGAGCTCAGGGTGAGAACTGGAGGCAGTAAGGAGGATGAGAAGTGAAGGCCCGAGGGAGCTGCTAAGGTCACTTCCAGTGAATGCTGCTTCTTTGGCTTAGTGAAGTGCAAGAGATGCCAGGGCAAACAGGCATTTGCCCCTTCACATTTAGCTGCTGAAACAGTGTGTCCTGCCTTGGAGCAGCTGCTCACATGAGATGGTTTCCAGAGCTCATCCTTGCTGCATTGCACCCCATCCCACTGCATGTCGGGCTCGCAGCTCTGAGCTTGTAAGCAGCAGTTATGCTCAGTGAGGAGGCAGATGTGGCAGATCTTCCTCAGGACAGCCCAGAGATGAGCTCTGGTGTGCTGGCAGCAGTGCAAGCCACGGTCCAGCCTTGCTCCAACCTGGGCTGCACAGCTTGTAGTGTGTGCAGGTGCCTAGTGTGCCCTCCCAGAGCACAGCCCACTCCAGTCTCTGTCTCTGGCTGCTTTTGTGCCAAGGTATGCCCTTGGTTTGGAATTAAGTTTGCTTCCCATGCTGGGCTGTTGTCTCTGGGCATGCCTAGGGGCAAGGAGTGGAGCCTAGGAGGCCTGCACCATGGACACCTTTGATGTCCTCTGTTCCCACCAGACTGTGATGTCAGGGCCTGCCAGGGCCCTGACTCCATTTGTCTCCCAGACATGCCTAGAGGTGGATAAGGAGATGGTGTTTCTGAAATGAAGTCTCTGCCCTCCTGAGGTTACCTCCCTGTTGATTGCCAAGGGAGAAAGTACAGACAATGTTATTTACTTTATTCTAAATGGCTGTAGTCAGGTCAGTTGAATCCTTGCTTCTGACAGCTTTGTTCATGACCAATTTCAAGGGGCAGTAGTCCCCTGAGCAGAGAAGTGTGTGTGAACAGCAGCCTCTGCATGATTTCCTTGCTTTGTGTAGCTATCTGGAAGATTGCTCTTCATCCTGTTATACTGGGCAGTGCAGCAGAGTGAGAGGGGAGCAGAGACAGCACACAACTGGCCTGAGAAGTGCTCCACATTTTTGTGGCTGTGTGACCCTCCCCTGCTCTCACTCAGACCTGCGGCAGCTGGAGAGACTGGACGTGGTGTTCTGATGCAGCTGGAGAGGCAGCTGCGATGAAAATGAGAACTTCTGAAAAAGATTTTGGATTTCTCTAAATCCAAAAGGACACCCAGTATGTTTTCTGAGCTCATGGATGTTTTGCAAGAGTTATGAGTGATGGCAGAGACATATTTTGCAGTCAAGTCTTCTGGAAGCCAGTTGGGAGTTTTGGTTGAGTAAGAATTTGCATTAAAGTTCTGGATCTGACTCTGAGCAAGTAATGAGTCTGTGGGTGAGGCTGACCCTAACTGGGATCTGCACTTCATGACTGATATGCGTGGGATCAAGTGCTAAAAACAAAGGGAACTGCCAATCAGGACCTTGTGTGGGCTGGAGCAACAGTCCCTTGGGAGATTTTTTGTATTGCCTCTAGCAAAAACTTACTGAGGGTGGAGAGGGAACTGAAATGGGTAAGACTGAAGATCACAGGAGATGCACTCTTTCTGACATCATCTCCCTTCTCTCTTCTTTATCTCCATTGCAGCTACAGTCCTTGTACACTTTTGAATGACAAAACTCTTTTACTTTTTAAACATCTTGCCAGTTCCAGTGGAGAAAAATGAAGCATTATATAGGGAGCAGGGCATAGGACTGACACTAGATCTAGGTTGGAAATTATTTTCTTATTTTATGAGGATTTTCAAAGCATTGGAAAAACATTTTTTGTTCTGACAGAGGCTGGAAAGTCAAAATCTGAAACATATTGGTGAACTGAAAATCTGGAAAAGAGCAGTAAGGTTAGGGGTCAAGTGCAGCACTTTGTTTAGATGATTTTCCAATGTTTTGGTTTAGTTCTGAATATTTCTAAATGCTTTCTAGCTACTACAATTATCTTAAATTTGGAAAATAAAAGAGACTTTGAAAAGTAGAAGTTTGGGCAATTTGAAGGAAGAAGAAATTTCAAACTGGAAACTTTACAAAAAAAAACCCCTTTTCCCAGGGAGAAAAAGTTATAATGGAATGCCATTGCATTGTGAAATCCCCAAAAAACCTGATCTTCCCTGCCCAACAGCTGTCTCTGGAAAGGGATGGTGTTCAGCCCTATGCTTCCAAGAGTTCATCTTGAAGCAATGTAGGCTGTTTCAGATCTCCCCTTTGCTGCCCCAGACTGTCCCTAGGACTTTCTTTCCCAGTTGTGGAAGTGTTTGTGTTGTCTGATAAACACTGAGCAAAACCATATGTGAGCTGAGTTGCATTATGCAGTATGGGAGGATGGGTTACTATCTTCTCTTCAACTTGTGAAAGTTTTCCTTTTTGGCCACATTTCAAATGGGGATATTGAATTGCATTGCATTTCATTTCTGATTGACATTGGGTGCTTAAACTTTACTGCCAATGCAGGCACAGGTTTTATCCTGCTGGTGGAATTCTTATATTACCTGAATTCTCTAGATCAACATGAGCCTGCCAGTGCCAATTCATGCTTTACAAGCAACTACTAGATCCTAAGGCTGAATTTACAGTCTTACTTCCTTGTAAATGTCAGACATAATTTTGGGAGAATGTTCAGATATATCCGATACTGATCAAGTCACCATTTTCATTACGATGCAGTCAAACCAGATGCAGCTGAGATCCTTACCCATACCCTTGAGGAAACCTATTGACAGGGTATGGAGGAAAGCTTTGGAAATAATAGACATGAAAAAGTATAAATCCTATATTAAAGTTTTATAAGTTTCATTACACAGTTATATTTCAATTACTCCATGGGAGATTTGGATGAACCTACAGGAAAAAGGCAGCTGTGGATTGGCAGTTTTTTGCTCTGCTTTAGTTCAGGATATTTCCATTTGGTTATAAATAGGAAATCCCTTCAGCTGAAGGAGCAACACTGGACCAATTTGCATTGAAAATTAAGAATCTGAGGAACTTTGCAATGGTCCCAGACTGTAGTTAATTTCAGCAAGTTTTGAGGCTCTTTGCCACCTTTCTTGTCACTCCCATAGAACAAGGAGTTAGCTCTTGCCAGCCAGGGAAATAACTGTAATCTCATGTTACTCACCAAAACTCTCTACCCAGAGCCTAACACCTCCAGAGGGGATCCAAACTAGAATTCATTACTGGAAAGATGAGGACAGACTTCTTAGCCTGTTGTGATAGGACAAGGAGTAATGCTTTTAAATTAAAAAAGGGTAATTTTAGATTGGGAGAGAAGAAGGTTTTTGCAGTGAGGGTGATGGAACATTGGCACAGGTTGCCCAGAGAATGCCCCATCCCTGGAAACATTCCAAGTCAGGCTGGACAGAGTTTTCAGTGACCTGATCTAGCTGAAGATGTCCCTGGCCATTGCAGTTGGACTGGACAGTTTTTAATAGGTGAGCCTTAAACCCAGGAGCCTCTTCCTGTGTGTGCCTCCTCAAGGTGCAAGTGCAAGTGTATTCTTTCTTTTTTTTTCCTTGAAAATACATGTGCAAAATCCAGTAGTGCTGTGATTAAAGAAGTCTGCAGCTGAGACATGCCCTGAATCAAAACCAGATTGGCAGTTAGCACCAGGAAAGGACTGGTGTCTTGTGGATATTTGGCCAAATCCTGCTGATATTCACATCTTAATGGAATACTTTTGCTGACTTCAGAGGACTCTGGATAAAATGCCTATAGCCTTGTATGTTTCTGAAAATTAGTTTGTATTTTCAGATATAATGAATAGTAAATATTCCTTATTAAAGTACCTCACAAGTACTTGTCAGTTTGCAAGCAATAGCCAAATTCAATATTCTTCCTACATTGAAGCACAGTTATTCCCGGGGAAACTAAGGCACCAAGAGGGTGATATGCCTTACTGCAGGCAGCTGTGAAAGGCAGAGCAAGGCTCTGGAACTGGGAGTACTAGCCCCTTGTTTTGTATTCATAATGCTCTTCCTCCTGCACTTCACAAGAAATGCACATCTCAAAATGTGGAAGGACGCTTTATGTTCTCTAACTCTCTGGACTACAGCTGCAAACTTAGGTACAGCAGAAAGCAAGCTGGAACCCCATAAAAAATGGTATGCAAGCCATTGCATGCAAGCATATGCAAGCTCACATGCATTGTGCATTCACTTACGAGGGGGCTCAGCAGATCAATTAAACAGATATTTGGTGCTGTTGCTTAGAGTAGCAAGAAGCTACTTTTCTTTCCCAGCCTTTGGTTCAAAGCACTTGACCTTTATCCTCATATCTTCTGTCTTTTAGGAAGGGCCACATTAAATTCCTCTCAGTTGTAGGAGTCATGCTTACAGCTATTCAGTGTCTAATTGTGTGAAGCTGTCCCCAGAAACGCAGCCTCAGAACTGCCTTTTACTGAAGGGAACAATAAGGCTTAATATAGTGCCTGGAGTGATATTATAGCATTTGAGGCAGATCAGAGATTAGTACATTGTTTGTGCTGCAAAGGATTTCTTGCTAGGACATTAATAGAAAAAGCTTTACCTAATCATATTGTTTGCAAGCTTGTTTTGTTTTGCTGAAGTGATATGCAAGTCCCTGACTGTCAAAAGGGAGCAAAGTTCAGCTTCCAATTTTGCATGCATCAAAAAATCATCCTTGCAAAGTATTGAGCTTGGATTAGAACAAATTTTACAAGTGGAGACATTTCTGTTTCTTGCAGCTAATTTCTGACCCTTTAGGTAAAACCACAAGACACAAACGTGTCTATGCACAGGGATAAGAAGTCTCTGTGAAGGGGAGAGAGAGTGCTGGATGAGGCTCTCACATAAGATTTCACAAGCTGGATTTTAAAAAATCACCAGATTTCACAATACCCACAGTCAGAATGTGAGGGATGGTGACCCTTTGGATTGGAAAGGATTTTTTTCAGGATTGTCTCTGCTGACTTTTAGTTTGGGTATTTTCCTTCCCTTCCACATGTGACCCTCGTTTTCAGGGCCATGTATGTATTGTATGTATTAGATATTGGGAAATATACTTTTTCAGGGCACACCACTTTCCCCTCCTGCTTTTTCTGTGGCTCTTACAAGGAGCAGATTAGCTTTCTCTGTAGCCCTTCTTTCCCACCTCTTTCCATACATTTTTGGAGACCATTGAAAGCAGTTCTTTATTCCCCCATCTGCTATTAATTCTCTCTCTCTCATGCTCTCTAATTCCCTCACTGCCCCTCACACACCCCTGCTTCAGGGACAAACTGAGAGGAACTTGCACTCCACTAAAGGCATCTATCGCCGGCTAAATCCTTCTAGAACATTGCCACTCTTGCTGAATGCAATTTGCTCTTTCCATGCCAAGGTTTTCTTCAGGAAATCCCCTAGATGAATTAAAAATATTGTTTTGCATTTGTTGGGACCTCTGCCCAGTGCTGTTTGCAGTGTACAAGCTGTGTTTGGTGCAAGTTGGGTCAAGACAGCTCAGAAAATCTCATGACTGGGTTTTGGTGCTTCTAAGCCTGTTGGCTCACATACACACACACCATACACACACCCTCAGCCTCTCTCTCCTTTAAACAGGAAACTCAACTCAGCATGTGGTGAGTAACAAAATATCAGCAAAGACTTTCTTGCATTTTCTTAAATTCTGTTAAAAAAAGAAATTTGAGAAGGAAAGAAAAAAAATCCTGTGTTAAACTCTTCGGTGTAAATAGGTCAGCACAATCAAAAAATCTGTGTGTTTAATGGAGAGATCCTGAACAGGATTCATTAGTGACTGATTGAGTTGGAAGAAGCAAAACTTTGTGGTGCCTGTAAGTTTTTAAGAATCTCAGAAAAAGTTAAAAACACAGCAGATATTTTTGTGGACATGGGAAGTAGGCACAACTTTGCTCAAATGCAATGGAGCTGTGTAAGAGGTTTGGCTTTGGCCTTAGAAATAACACAGGTATAAGTTAAGCAAGGCCTGATTCATTGCATTTAAGTCCATAGGGATTTGTATGGTTGTCTGGATGGACTCTTTGTGTAGCATACATCTTGCATAACCCGTGATTCATCTATGAGGTCTGAGTTGTGGCAGGGTCAAAGTTCATTTTCTTTACACGAGAGGTATCATGCATTGATTCAAAGTTTTCAAGATACAGAAGACACATAAGTCCTTGGGTTAGACTAGCCAAGGGTTAATTACCTTTATCTGCCTGAACATAGATCACTCTGCTCACTGCTCCTCATGCTTGGCCTCTGCCCCCATGGCATGAAGCGGGTTTGGTGTGCCTGTCTCTCCTCAGCCTCACTTGCTGTACCGCCAGCTGTGCTATTGCAAAGTGAATGCTGCTTTGTATCCAA